TTTTGAAAAGATTTTTTTTTTAAATTTGGAAGTGTGTTTGGAGCATGAGAGTACACACAAAGGTCAAATGACGAAATTTGGGCATGTGTGTATCTCATCCCCATGACTTACAACTCCAAATCCTAACATACCCTTAGCAAATAAACCATGTTTAGACCTAAGGATATAAAGTTACCAAATAATGTCACAAAGGCGAGGATGAGGTATAATTGGCAACCACAGTCTGGAACACAGGGCTGAGGGCTTCGGCATGATTGACTGTGAGTGTCCCAGGGCAGTAGCGCCCTGGGTGCAGTAGCATGCTGTCTCTCTGCAGCGGTAGGTGCTACATTCACCTTTGATGGACTGATCCAGACACAGAAATAGAACCCGCAAAGTGATTTTCCCGAAAGCACAATACCCCCCAGCCAAAGTGTGTATGACTACTCTATAAGAATGCTCAAGGGGCCAGGTGGTAACCCAGTAGTAACACAACTGGACCCACATGGGTTCAACTTCCAAGACCTCCCTGAGCGCACTGGGCATATGTGCGTCCATCGTCCAGGTTTGCTGAGACGGGTGGTGGGGAAGGGATTGTGTGTGAAGACCCTATTGGGAGTGCCTCTTTCTTTCTTTCTCTTACACTCTGTCTCATGGAAAAAATGAATAAAGTTAAAAAAAAAAAAAAAAGAATACTTCTTAAAAAAAAAAAAAAGCTAATGAAATGTCTTCTCTTTTAAATATTTATTTGCAAACTTGTTCCTGAAAGTATAATTTTCAGCTAGCTGAGGATCTCTAATTAGGACTAATTAGTGCTTAGTGTAATAAAATTCATCACTGTCAGCGGTAAGAATTCCCAAGTGTCCAATTACCCAACACACAGTCATGGTGACTCAGGCAAGCATGATCCCTGTGTCTGAGGGAGTCAATGACTCAAGACTCAATGTCCACTTTGACCGATAAGTGGGTTTCTTCCCAATTATCCAGTCATCTTCAAAGACCCTCATCTGCCATGGCTTGTTATTGCAAGATGGGATGATGCCACACCCAGATTAAGCTCTCAAAACCTAACTGCTGTTGGAAATGAGGTGGGAGGGTGGAGGTCAGAGTCCAAGCCTTCAGTCCTGTAGGAATCCTCGGTGTGAGAGATTGGCACCATCCTGGAGGTGATTCTTGCTCAGTTTAAGGAAAATTTGAATAAAGTGCCATGAAGGTAGAATATGTTTATTAATGCTTCTCTCTGGGGAGACCAGCAGATGGCATAATGGCATAATCCACTGGACTTCCACATAGTCAACTGCAGTTCAAGTCCCAGACCCAGTGGCTTAAAACTCATGCTTGGCGTGTGCGTGTGCATGCCCAAGATCCCAAGAGGAGAATGAAGGAGAATGGATTGCAGCATGGCCATCCCCCCAGGGTGTGATTTCTCACTCTCTATCTCTCTGTCTCTCTCTGTCTCTCCGGTGAACACACACCCTACAAAAAAGATCTACCTTTAAAAAAAAAAAAAGAAAAAACTTCTCTCTGGGATGAACTTACTTTATGCTTGGCATTTTTTTTTTCAATAGTATCTAGTTTGAAGCAGGAGGGAGTAGAATGGTTTGGTACAGTAAAGATCTACCTTAAAAAAAAAAAAAGAAAAAACTTTTCTCTGGGATGAAATTACTTTATGCTTGGCATTTTTTTTCAATAGTATCTAGTTTGAAGCAGGAGGGAGTAGAATGGTTTGGGATATGAAAGATATAAACATGGTTGTGAGTTAAGCCTTATTAAAGTAGATGATGGGATTTCACTCTATTTGTGAATATCAAGTTTCTTTCTTCCATAAGTGAGAGAGACAAGTAGAGGCAGAGAGAGAGAGAGAGAAAGCATACCTGACAGGTTCTTTTTTTTTAATTATTTTATTTAACATTATTGATTTTTTTTATTTATTTTAATTTGACCAGAGTGGGAAAGAGAGAGAGAAATCGAGAAAGTAAGAAAGCAAGCTGCCAGGTCCAGGACTCAAACTGCGGTCAGCCAAGTGGGAGTCCAGCACCCTTAACCAGCTTACCACTTCCCGGCCCCGACCTGACAGTTTCTTTATGCCACAATCTACCCTTAGCTTATCCAGCCCTAAATCCCAGGAGCATGCATGCCCAGCATGCTCAGGGACATCTGCAGACATGAAGTCAGAACCTCCCCATGGGAGTCAGGCTTGCAAAGTATCACATTTTACCACTGAGCTACTGTCTAGCCCCCATGATTACGTTTTATAATAAGAAGTAAAATTTAAAAGCATAGGATGTAAAAATAAATACATAAATAAGTCAATAAACAAAACTGGGGCTTTGGTTTGGTTTCATGAAACTATGAGTTTCAGCCTGGAACTTTCTGAGGAACTTGCAAGGCATGTAAGGAGGCAACAGGTGCCTGGTTACTGCAAGCCAAGAACAAAATGAACAAGGGAGGCCGATGCACATGGAGCCCTTACTGTATTCAAG